TAGGGAACGACAAACAATATGACAATACTCTGACTAGGGAATGACACATGGTTTGAAATCGAACAGCATTACACCCGGCAAGTTAAAGAAGTCTACAGATAGGACCGCCATGGTACCTGCAAAGGACATCTGCCTCCTTGTGGAGTAGAGCTTCTACACATTCATCATGACCATTTGCAGCCTGAAAGAAAGTGTGGGAAAGTAAAAGATATCACTGTCTAAAGTGTTCATCAAGTTAATCAAGGGTGCCCTATGGTAAAAAAGGTGTCCTATGGTAAACCTGTGGATTCAGATTTCACAACACTGTTTAGAAAATAGTTTACCTGTGCGTGGCAGCATGGCTAACTCACAAATCAATTTAGAATTTAGCTCGTTAGGTTTTCCAGATAGAGAAAACCCACAAGAAAAATCCTCGAGTCATAAGAGAGTAAATGTGAGAAACAGAGTCCAGGAATCAAACGAGAGTGTATCAGGGATTACAATAATGGCTGATCAGTCGCTTCATAGTTAATGGAGCGGAATGGTTGGGTGATGGTACGGTTCAACATCAAACGCAAAATAATAGCTTTGTTCTATGGAGTTTGCAAACCATTCCGCTCCATTAACTATGGTCACTTGTCATGAACATTGGCCAAATTAGTTTTAACTTAGTCATACATTATTTCTGACTCAATGTTACTGGTCAAAAAGACCGGCAAGGCAAAGATTTGATGGGACAAGTTCCAGTTCTGAGTGGACATAGTCTGATGTCCAGCCATTAATTTAAGCCCTGTGCATATTCAAGATATAACCAAACATCAACTGTCTTAGTAGGATAGCACTTACTGCTCTATGGAGTGCACTGCGGTGATTAACATCAACAGCTAGGACATCTGCTCCTTCACTAAGCAGCAAAGCAGCACAGTCTGAAAATCCATTACTAACAGCTTGCATGAGAGGTGTCCTGTTTTGCAAATAGAAATAATATCAGTTGTCTGATAGAACAGCATTCTTGAACTGATAGAAAACATGTGCACATACTGCGTACTAAATAACATAAAGCATCCAGAGATGTGCAGAACATCAAAAAATTGTTATATAAATAATAAATCAAAGTATTTTTAAGTATTAAAATACTTATATTGCATATTTTCTATATAAATACTTATAAACGAAAAGAATAACTAAAAGTTTCTTGAGTAGATATTTCGGACGATATCCATCGTCCATCATCAGTTTAATGACTTTCTATAAGTGTTACATTACAGTGAATATTTTAAAGCCCTAGGGACTAATACGTATTAATGAGGTACTGTAAGCCCTAGGGACTAATACGTATCAATGAGGTACTGTAAGCCCTAGGGACTAATATACGTACATAGGTATTGTTTAATAAATTTAGAACGACAGATTATCCTTGTTCGTTTAAGTCTGGTTTTTGTTCTTTAACTAGGATGACTTTGGCTATTTTTCGTTTTTGTTGCCAAGGATAATTTTCAGCAAGTACATTTTGGTCTCAGCTTCTATGCTCTATGTTTCTGAACCTGACAACGATTCTTCAATTGAGTGTATATGACACTTACCTCCCTTGTTCATCTACAGCGTCTATGTCACTGTCATTTTCAAGGTTTTGTATTAGTAGTCTAACACAATCAGTATGACCATTGTAAGCTGAAAATTAAGAATACATGTATATATTAATAAAGTTAGTACTGGAAATAGACCATTTTCTCAAGGTGGCGGGCTTAACCAAATTTAAGAAACTCGATGAGCCATGATACCAGAACAGGAGCTTAAATAAAAAACTGGCTTTTCAATTTTACTGAATTTGTGTGACAACAATGGCACGTGGCAACTCACAGTGGTGAAAGATGTTCGACGCCTTAGCAGCGTATAACACCCATGCTACCCATGAAATAGGACGATTGGTTGAAATTATTAATTTGCATTTAATTAAGGACTTTTCAGTCAATGATGTAAATGAAGGATGAGTTAGAATCTGAACAGTACAGAAAGTTTACATGAATAGTATGGATAGTAAACCCAGCTGAATGGAAACATGTGACATAGAAATAAGCATTGGCAGTCATGAATAAGCCTGAAGCATGATGACGTTTTACCCCTCGTCTCTAGACCATAATCCTTTTCACACTGCTTTCGTTCTTTAATTACGACTATTGTTCCTGCATTCTCTAAGGAATCAAAAATTTTAATATGGAAGAATTTTAAAAACAATTATGGTATAGAGTCGGGGGTAAAACGTCATCACGCTTCAGGCTTATTAGTGGTGTCATATCAATACGTACCTGCAGCATGTAGAGGTGTTCTTTTGGTCACACAATCATGCACAAGCACCTTTGCGTTACTATCTAAAAGATTTTCTACACAATTCCTGCAATACCAAATGAACAGATATAAATTTGACAACTTCAGCATAAGCACCACAATATTGTTCTTTCTCATGCCATAGAATTTTACTCTAGGTTTTCGGTTTTTCCTCCTGTGTGGTATGCACTGTTACGGCACTGTCTCTCATCACCGTGTAGTTCATGCCTAAGGTCCTGGGTTCAATTTCCGGTTGAGCTACATACAGTTATCTTCCTTGCGATGAAGGTTTCAGGGGCAGATCCAGGGGTGGTAACATAGGTGACAAGTTACCCCCTTTTGCTCAAATTTCTCAGTATATTGTTAGAGCGGATGCAATTAAACCGTGAAATAAAATCAAACTAAATACTAATGGTATTTATTTAGTGACTAATAGTCACTATTACTCAACCAGAACATTTATTAAACAAAAGACACAAATGGTCTCTTGTCTATTTGTCTTTGTATGATGAATGTTCTGGTTGAGTGATAGCAACTATTAGTCACTAAATAGATACTATTAGTTAGTATTTAGTTTGATTTTATTTCACGGTTTAATTGCATCCGCTCTAGTAACAGTCACCCCCCTTTACCTCTAATTCCTGGTAAAACTTTTGTAATAGTCACCCTTCTAAAATTCCTGGGTCCGCCCCTGGTTTTTCCCCAGGGGTCTCTGGTTTTATCCCTCCTTAAAAATGAGCATGTCAGTTGAGTATTGTATGTCACTGATAGATAATGAACACCGTGATAGTGCCTGAGGAGGGAATTTCATGGAGGAGCCAATTACAGTGAGTGATGGTTGTAAAATATAATGACAAATTAGTGCTCGAAATAGCGGCCTACCAATGGCCAAATGATAGGCCAAAATTCAAGTTTAACAGGCAAAACTATTGAAGCACTACTTTATCGGTGCATGTACAAATGAATAATAAAATGGCATGCAAAAGTTACTGGAACAACCTCATTTTACCATGCTCCTTTATCTAAAGTACTATGGCAGGTTGCAATTATTGTTTTCTATTTGGACTAAATTAGAGCTCACAAAATGGGGGTGAAATTTTGTATCTAGGGAATGACAAAAAATTTAACTAGCTAAGTTTTGCGAGTATGACCACAGTCCAGAAATTGAAGGACTGAAAAGTTTAGAATCCTCATCAAGTAACATTTGTTATTCACCGTGTCTGATCGCTAGTGACTTTGAAATTTTTGCTATGAGAACAAAACTTACTAGCAAGGTTTTGCTAGTGGGTTTAAAAGTTAATTTCGTGCCCTGCCTGATAGCACATGAACTTTTAACTACAATAAAGGAACAATAGCAACAGCAACCAAATTTAAGACAAATTTACTTATAACTAATAACTTACACATGACCTTGAAAAGAAGCTAAGTCAAGTGGTGTGCGACCTATAAAAGAATGGTGTTTTAAATCATTAGCCAACATAATACTGTTTATTTCTAATGTACTTACCACTCCTGGGTGGTTGTTTTAAGGTTACTGGAGACCTTTGTGGGTATTTTATCAAAAAATATAAGCTTGTAGGCTGATCTTTCATTTCCAAAAATTTTTTTAGAATTATTGAATATATTTTTCGTAATTTTTATCATCTGACCTTTGAAACAATATATAGTTTTATAGGGTTTTGTTGAATGTGTTGCGTAGAGAGAGTTTTAAACTTAACATACCCCTGAAGGTCTCCAGTAACCTTAATGGCATGACAGATTTTGCAACCCAAATTGATAAGGCAGCAGGTAGATCAAATTAGAATTTAGTCAAAGTTAATTTTCGTGGAGAAAGGAAAAACCCTTGAAGCACAGTAGAGAGCCAGAGAGCCAACAAACAAGTCTACTCACATACGACACCAAACCTGGGTAACATTGGTGAGAGATGACACATTAGGCCAAACAAAAGAATAAGTGTGTTTCCTGTTGCAGGACCGACCCTAATTTTCTTGCAGATTTTTGACGACCCTAATATTTTTTCCATTCCCAAAGCACCACAGGGTGCTTATTTCCACTGTTATATCAGTAAAAAATATATATATCCAACCTACTGACCCCAGTTATTTTTCTCATGCAACAGGAAACACACTTATTTTTTTGTTTGGCCTTAGCAGTACATGCCATCTGTGCTTCAAGTACTTCAAGTAATAAAATGTTTAGTTACCTTTTGGGTCTCTTGATTCTACATTCATTTTTATATTACTAGAGGATTTCAATAATACTAAAAGTGCCTGGGAGTACCCATGGTAAGCCTGCCAAAAAATAAATTATAGTATAAGCAGTGATCTAATAATAATCATAGTTTTCATCATACTCATTATTATCATCACTACTGTCACCATCGTATTCAACACCACCACCATCAACAAAATGTACATCATCACCATCATTATCATCACCATCACCAACATGTACATCATCACCATCATCAATCATCATCATCCTCATTATCATCACTACTGTCACCATCATCATCAGCATCACCATCACCAACATGTACATCATCACCATCATTATCATCATCATCACCATCACCAACATGTACATCATCATCCTCATCAATCATTATCATCACTACTGTCACCATCATCATCAGCATCACCAACATGTACAACATCACCATCACCAACATGTACATCATCACCATCATCAATCATCATCATCATTATCATCATCACCAACACATACATCATCACCATCATTATCATCCTCATCATTATCATCATCACCATAACCAACATGTATATCACCATCACTATCATCATCATCATCATTATCATCATCATCATCACCAACATGTACTACACAAAAACCAAAGGGATTTGGTTAAAGCCAGTCCATTAAACTTGAGATCAAAATAACTTACTGCTAGATGAAAAGGAGTAACCAATGGTGAACTTGAGCTTTGGTTTAGTAAATCCAAAGAGGCTGTGTCTAGTAACTGAACAGAGAAACACAGAGAATTCTAACAACTCTTTTCATATAATGAACAGATATAGAGGATATTACATAGGCGCGCGGAGATACGAAATTTATCTTTGAGTGTTGAAAAGATCTCTCACAAGTGAGCGCAGCGAACGAGTGAGAGATTTTCAACACGAGAAGATAAATTTCGTATCTCCAAGCGCCCATGTAATATTCTGTTTATTATATAATTATCAATGGAGTATGTTTTGGCTTTTTCAGGCAATTATTTCCRTGTATTTTTGAATAGCCATCACAATGGTGTTATCTTCACACGTGAAAATAACATGTTATTTTCACGTGTGAAGATATCAATTTTTCGAAATAGAGAAAAATAGATATTTCATTGGTAATTATATAATAAGATTAGTTATCGTACTAAAAAAAGGCTTTTGCAAGTTGTCAAGAATAGGCCCTTTGCAGTAAACGGTCACGTGTCTGTAATGGAGGGCAAAATTTATGTTTTTATATTAAATTGGTGATTCTTTTTAGGTAGTTGTAAAGAACTGAATGAAAAGATGTGTAACCAGTGTGTTACGAAATGTAGTTTTATTGCGATCTCTCAAAACAGGTTGTAGAAAATTTGATTGCTCACCAGCAAATTTCACCCATAGGAATCAAAATGTTCATTCATTTGCTCTCAGTGAATTAATCAGCACATGATTGCTTAGCCGCAAAGGGCCTATTATAAACATGTAGGACAAAAGTTGCCTATGGTTACAGTGTGACTACTACAGCCAGGGCCACAGTTCTAGACAATAAGAACTAATCAAAATGTAGAATGAAAACAATAAATTCCAACTTTATTTAGTGGAGCCAATCAGAAAGAAGCAGAAAACAATAGGCTTTCAACATATCTTTCTATTCCCACACGAAAATGATGATAGTTATCTAGTTGTTTACAAGTAACATCAGTGTCAAATAACCATCTTGTTCATTGAGGTTTCTGATTAGCTGGACTAGATTCGCTTGACTGCCCAAAGATGGAATGCATTATCTTAGTGCTACATCTAAAAATTGAAGGGCTACGTGCGAAAACGGCCTAAGTGACTTTTTAGGAAAATTTTAGGTAAAGTTCTTAATTTTGGTCCTCTTTTCAAACTGGACTAAGTGGCCCAAGTTACAGTAGTTGCACTGTAAATGTTAAGTTATTGGGTATCTTTGATGATGTTTGCAGTTTTAACAAGTCAGGTGCGTGAAAGACTTGCAAATCTTCCAATGTATTTCTTAGGTTTTAATAAACGAATAATAGAATGGATTGTATAAGTTAAATTACATTTTGCTTTCACAAACTGTGACGTTATGGCATTACTGTACAGGTAGTGCTTCTCAAGAGCACAAATGGAATTGTTGCTAGGAAGAAGGATTTGGCAGACAGCAATCAAGGCATTGACATGACATTCCACAGCCACATCATGCCCTTGGAAACTTTGCGTTTTCCAATGATGTCATGAAAACACTTTGATTACGTGCAGGCGATTTTGTGCATGTGATTGGCAAGTACTGTAGCGCCAAATAGCTATGAACCATGCTACAGTATTACCTTTACTAAAAAAACACAATTCTTACCATTTCTATAGCTAACTTATGTCCATTAATTGCTGCATAGTGTACTGCATTGTATCCCTGTTTGTCTTTCTTGTTGGCATTGGCTCTATTCCTAAGTAAGTGTTCTACACATCTGTAAAGAAATGAAATCAAGCCATGCAAGGCAGGGGTGAATGGTACAAGAAACTCCAAAATTGGGTGGATGGGGGAGAGGAGGGAAGGGGGGAGGGAGGGGCAGGGGAAGTGGGGGTGTTAAGGCAAAGAAAAATAACATGACAATCTCTCACAAAGGTACTGATAGGCACACTTTGCCCACGTTGTATACCTAAATCTACCCCTGTGCAGAAAAAGCACACATTCCCTGGAATCCAGTAGTTTTTCTATTTTGCAGTACTCGGCACTTACTTTTTTAGATCCTAGGCAATGGGCTGTCTATAAATCCAATAGCCCAGCAGAGTAATTTATTAGCCCATAATATACCGCCAATATTATTAACCCTGGAAGAAACAATTTTTTGTACTTACTTTGCATCTAAGTCATTTGCGGCAGCATAATGTAAAGCTGAGCATCCTCTAGTATCAGACTTGTTAACAGCAGACCCACATCCAATTAAAGTTACTACACATGGATAATTGGTATGTCCAGAAGCATAGTGAAGTGCAGTCCTAGAAAGAAATATTAATCCAGCATTCACAGTGTGCAATCTTCACTGTTATATTATACCAATCCTGTGTTTGTATTAATTAGAAGAATCAGTCTAAGTACGGGTAGCATGGGTGGCATACACTAGCAGCTTTCGCACTAATTGGGGACACTTTGCTCACATGCACTACCACTACATTCAATATTCTATGCACACAACGCTCAGCTCACATGTTGATTTTTACGGAGGGAGGAAACCAGAGAACCTGGAGAAAAGCCTCATAGCATAGGAGGGAACAACACATCAAACAAACTCAATTCACATGTGGTGGCCGCAGGGCTCGAACCAGCCATTCGACCAGCAATGGGCTCACAGCGGTGAAAGACGACTCGCTAGCCGCGAACACCAACCATGCTACCAAAAGATATGTCTTACCTTCCTAGTTTATCTACAGCATTAAAGTCAGCACCATGATTTATTAGAAGTTCTAGACATTCTGGATTCCTGAAAAATGAATAAATGAATGTGAATGAATTCTAAACATGCTAAATTGCAACTCTATTTGTGAGTTAGTTCTTTCCTGACTTTAATCAGCTCAGAGGTTTTTTCAAGGATTGATTCACTTGCAAGTAAGCCATGCCATGCTTTGATCAGCCCAGAGGCTGTTTCAGGGTTTGATCTGTGAGTTAGCCATGCCCTGACTTTGATCAGCAAAAGGTTGTTTCAGGGCTGGATCTGTGAGTTAGCCATGCCCTGACTTATATCAGCCCAGATGGTTGTTTCAGGGTTCGATCTGTGAGTTAGCCATGCCCTGACTTTGATCAGTYCATAGGTTGTTTCAGAGTTGGATCGGTTAGGTAGCCTATGCCCTGACTTAGATCAGCCCAGAGGTTGTTTCAGGGTTTGATCTGTGAGTTAGACATACCCTGACTTCGATCAGCCCAGAAGTTACTGTTAGTAGTTTCAATAATGTGTAACAGAAGCATACCATCATAGTGCATATCTTATCATAACAATAATACAATCAAATAGCACTACCATATTTCTTGGTATAGCCAGTAAATTAGAAACAGAAGGGCATTCTTTCACTGATTATTTCAGCAATAATTGTCTCAGGCTATTACTACTCACCCACTGCATGCAGCACAATGTAAACTTGTCCTATCATTCACATCTTTACTATTAATGTCAACACCTGAAAAAATAATTTCAAGTAAAAATAAAAATAATAGCAATTATTTAGCAAAAATTATAATTTGAATTCCTTTTTTGTCAGTTACAAGTCAATGTGGCAAAAAATATATAGAGATTACCTCATGGTCAATGAGCGCATACGGTTTTTATTCACAACAAGTGAATAAAAAACGTACAAGCRAACTAACCATGATGTAATTTATATATTTTATAAGTACTGAGATATTACAAGTAAAGATTTTTTTCAACTTGGAGTTGAGAGAAAAATTTATTAGGTTTACTTCCTTTTCCTTTCTGTTTGAGTTCTCGTTGCTTTGATTGCAAAGCCTTTCGTGTCTGTTCAAAATCAGCATCTTTGATGATGCTTACTCTATTACTTTTCTTCTTTTAGATATTGTTCAAAACTAGCTATAAAAGCCCGTAGAGAGCTTGGTTCGTAGTTTTCGTTGGCTGGTTCTTTCTTACGGACACCGAGGATGAATTCTTTGAGGTATTCATTTAGTTCTTTCGCAGCATTGAATCTGTCCTATAGCCCTTGTCTCTCCTTTCGTTTGTAAAAATTCATGTAGGAGTTTTCTAGTGTTTTCGTTTTCCTGGCTCTCAATAATCTCAGTGATTGAGTCGATTTGAGCAAATCTTGAGCAACAACCTGCCATGTTTAAGAACTTTTGACAACAAACACTCAAACGCAAGCTGAAACTTTCTGTATGAAGCAAGGGAAAACTCGATATGATTTTTTTCACTAGTGCTGATACCATGTTTTTCACTAGTGAAAAATATCATATAGCCAATCACAGTGCTGATACGATGTTTTTCACTAGTGAAGAAAATCATATAGTTAATAGGATCACTTCTCGTTTGTTATGATATGATTTTTATCACATGGCTTGCGAGCATGTAAATCCCAGTACTTATATAATAATATGTTTTATCACAACGATATATTATGAAACCATGAAATACTGAATAAACGCCATAACCAACTTGGTTGGTACATTTCTTATTGTATAGGTTTTGCCAGCACCCACTATCACGCATATTTGCTACCTTAGTCTTGCTTTCTTTCAAATATTTTTATACCACTCATAAGAAAAAATTATCAATAAAAGCTAAGACAGTAATTTATAGTTTTTTACTCTAATTATTAATAATTGCATTGATTTTTTTGTTTCAAATGGTGTAAAAGTTTGACGGACCAGCTCAGTTTGACATGCCAAGTTTTTGAGTGAACACATGGAAGCCATGACATATAAACGATCACATGCAGCAAAAATATGAAGACAAGGTAAGAGTATGTATGGCTTTTATACTCAGAAAAAAAAAGTTAAATATGAGACTAGTAGATACCCGTACCAGTATTTTCGAAGGCAGCGTTAACTCCGAGAAGTCCTTTAAATGAAAGACGAGAAACATTTTATGCCAATTCTTTTTAAATATTGCGGGTTTCAATTCCATTTCAATTCCAGACACTCCTTTTTTCACTGACAGTTGTTAAATTCAAAAAAACTGATATAAATCTTGCATTCTGATTGGATGGGAGTGTGTGCCTTATAAGTCAGAGCCAACAGCATGGGCACACTTTCTATTTTGTCATTCTTATCCAAAGATTGCATTTAAACTTCACCAAGTTTTCAACACAAGATTGAAGTTTTTTTGCCACTGGTTAATCTCTTAGCAACAGGGGCTACCACAGCAATGGTGTAAGACTTTTGGCCTTCATTATAGCGATGCCATTTTTCTCTCTTCCYGATTACATGTAGTTAGAATAGTGCAATAATGTTCTTATAAATACTCACCATAAAAAAGGAGTTTTTTACAACAGTCTGTGTGTCCACCAAGACTAGCTAAATGTACTGGCTGCATACCATAAGCACCTTGCCTGGTTGAAACAAAACATCAAGGAAATCTTTAAAAATCTACAAAAAGTGTGCCTGTTGTTAAATTGAGCCTGGTTTCCAATTGGTCCCTAGGAYAACTGTGATGGTCCAAAAACGTGTTTCATGGCCATCGCTGTGATCACAGCAATCATGTCGATTGTGGAGTTTTTGATTTATAGGAATCACTTGGTCAACACAAAAATTACATTTGTCACCACACAGAGATCAAAATGGCAGCAGAAAGCAGAGATTTGTGATCTAACTTATCATTTTTGACTTCTTCCTTTACATTGAGGCAGACCAATAGATCATATCCTTGACTACTTCCCCCCCCCCCAAACCCCCCAAAAAAACACTGTACACACACAGGTTTTCACACTCAGTTAACTAGACTTCTTGACTGGACTTCTTCCCCCTCCCCCCCAAAAAAACACTGTACACACACAGGTTTTCACACTCAGTTAACTAGAACACTCTTTGGATAGATGCTTACTTTGATGGATCAGCTCCACTGGCCAGTAACACACTAAGAAGGAGTTCCTGACCATACTGAGCGGCAATATGAAGAGGTGTGTTGCCATGGCAATCTGCAGCATCTACATATGCTCCTATAATTTATCCAATACAAGCACAAATCTTATGATATAACATGCAGTTTTCTTAGAAATTTTCAAACTTTACCCAAATCAGTATAATACACTTTCAATAGAACCTTATTGTGAATGTAAAAAATTAACAAAGTAGCTCAAATTGGAGAACAATTAAAAGTTCAAAATCAATTGAATTCAGACCAAGAAATAAAGATTGTACACATCACAGGTATTCTTTACTTACTATAAAATTTATATCTAATTGAGCTTATCTACTCAGTATATATCTATCAAGCAACTTATGCAGCTGCTAATTATAAGACTTAGAAAAAATATGAGACTTACAAGGCTGCCTTAGTGACTTCACACACGTTTTACATGTACCTTCTCTCGAATCTTACTTTGAAAAAACCACTTACAAATGAAGGGAATAAAAAGTCAATGAATGATGCTAAATACTACTAACCATGTTGAAGAAGTGTTTGGGCCCTAGAACATCTGCCATATAGAGCAGCAAAGTCTAAAGGAGTCCTACCCTTTTTATCCTAAATGATAAACCAACAAATGTTAGATATGTCAAGTCAAGGCCTCTGAAAAAAAGCCAAATATGTGACCAAACATTTAGCAGATATTAGTGACAGACCATGACAAATGATCCCAAAATTTGACTCAATAAATGTTGGACCATTTCCTAATGAATTTACCACTCCTGGGTGGAAGGCAGAACGCCTAACAGGTTTTGCAACCCAATTTATGAGGCAGCTGATAGATCATATCAGAATTTAGGAGTTGATTTTTGTATAGGAGAAAAAACTGGAGAACCTGGAGAAGAAACACTAACCCCTTGTAGCACAGGAGTTTGTTTGATGTTTTATTCTCTTCCTTGCCACAAGGGTTTCGTTTTGGTTCTCTGGTTTTCCTCCCTCCATAAAAAAATTAACATGTCTTTTGTGTAGAAGTTCACTAATGTGTGTTGTAAATAAATATAGTGGTTTAACAGGTTCTCTGACGCGGTGCAAATGCAAATTTGAAAATTTCTTTTAATTGATATTTCCATACTACTAATTAATAAATTAATTATGATAAATTATACAAATTATAACCATGCTAAAAATATAACCAATCAACCGATACTAACATAATTATAGAAATGATAAACTAATGCTGAACACCCTAGAGGAGAATGATACTTAACGTTATTCTGACATTCCTAAGCTTGCAAAGCCCTTCTTAGGAAGGCTAGCAATAAGAAATATCCGTAAAGTTATGTATCTTTTTGAACCATCTTTTTTTGCTCTTTTTTTCTGGTGTACAACATCCATCTTATTGTTATATACTCATAATTGTTGCTCGAAAGTACCTGCATATTTGGGCTAGCACCATCGTTAAGAAGAAGTTCCAAGCATACATCACCCTGGCCTGATGCTGCTGCATAATACAGCGGTGTCTGGCAAACAAGAATTCAAGAGATTATGTTTAAAGCAATTGTGAGCATTAAACTACTATGCCTCCTGGCTGGGTCAGTTGGTTGGGTACTTGGCTGTTGTGCCTGTTATTATCCCGGGGGGGATACTCCATTATATATATGGACTATAGGGGAATGATCCGATGAACAGGGTATGGTTTTTCAAGCTTCTTGTCATAAACAAGGTATGCAATTTCACTCAAGTTCCAAGTTCTTCCTGAGTTTCCTGTCATATTCAGGGATTCTACTTTCGCATTGACCGAAACTGGTTATTATGGTCATAAAAAAAACCATATGCGAGATGACATGAAAATTGAAACAGGAACTCAGTGCGATAAATTATATCTTTTGTCATAAACAGGGTCCACAAATTTGAGTTTTTTAATCATAAACAGGGTACCCCTTTCAGAATTATTAGTTTACATTACAGTCAAAAAAAAACAATCCTCAAGGGAATGACATAAGGTTGGAAATGTGAAAACATTGGATTAGGTTACTCTATAAACGTAACTAGAAAAAGACTTACCATTCCTTTGAAGTTAGCAGCATTAATAGATGCTCCAAAGCTAATCAATTCACTAATAACTATATCTTGTCCATTTAAGCATGCTACGTGGAGTGGTGTATTCCCATGAATGGTTTGTGCATCAACCTTTAGATATAAGATATTAAGTAGTTAAAATACTACATTTTTTTATGCTTAAAAAATATAAAGGGGCCTTCCACATAAGATGATCTGTTATACCAAAACTTTGCTTGATCCTGAAGTGTTTAAATGCAAGGCTTCATGGGAAGATGGAATGATAACCAAGCAGTTTCAACTGGCCGCCTCCATTTTGAAAGGCCTGTCATTCAACAAAGGCACTAGACAAAGGTTTGGCTTCAGGATAAATAATTGCAACACCTTCAAAAAAAAAGCCTTCAATTTTTTTCCAACCCTGAAGCAACCGCTGGGCTGATCTATGACAGGGCACAGCAAGCTATGTCATAGTTAAAATTGAAATTCATCATGTTCTTGATGAAAATCAGAAGCAGAAACACAAGTCATTCTATTTAGCTATTCTTGGATCTTGGAATGACCTATCACCTATTGCTTTTCACCTATCGCCTATTGCCTATTGCCTTTGGAGATGACGACATTTTAAAAAATAGGTGTATATTACTTACATCAGCACCATCTTCCAGTAATTTTCTTAATGTTGTTAGCTGGCCTCCTGCAGCTGACGCATGGAGTGGTGTGTATTGCTATTTAAATAATACATTAGAAAACTCATTAATAATTCATGAAGGAAACACAATAGAAATCATGACCATAAAGGAGGTTTTATATCTGATATAGATTCTTCTTCATTTGCATAAACTTTAACTTGGATTTTCTCTATCAAACTTGGTTCATTTCGTAAAGAATTTTGTACAATATGAGAACATACATCATGAGTTTTAATAATTCGCAGATCGTGTTTATCGGGTCTAAAACCACTCGGCTGCACCTCATGTTTTATACCCCATAAAACACTCCTGCTCATTTATTAAACATTACATAATCAGATATTAATTCCCCATAATAAATTTCATAACAGACACAATATAACACATGCTCTGATTGGTTATTTAGCGTGCACGAGCACACATCCATGACAAGTAGCGCGCGCTATATGAAGATTTAGTTTTTAAAAATTTGAATTTTTCTCAATTAACAAAGATTTTTTTACACTTTTGCTATCTTTTGCTATATTATAAATGCATTGTGCATTGATTAGCCTGATTTCATTGAGTGTTGGGTGTACTTGCTCAGTTGCTATAAGCACTTAAGAAGCTTGAGTTGCACTAACTGCACTTGTCCTCTCTCAATTCTAATTAAAGTACTACCTTTTCTAACTGTTACCACTTTCCCAAAGTTAACCAGTTTGATAGGCATTTGATAAGCCATATCAAGCAATTGAAAGATTGTTTCATCCTCTATATCCAAACACCTTGAAGTTGGTTTAAAAAACTCAGCTCCACCTTGTTTCTTCAACTCACTTAGACATCCTCAGTGTTTGGAAATTGGATGAACTTTCAATTAATTATCAACAATTATTGTTTGATTATTACTTTACAACATATATTACAAAGTAACCTACCTTTTTGTCAGCACAGTTAATAGATGACTCTGATTTAAGCAGAATGTCTAGGCATTCTATGCGACCTGAAGATATCATACAAAATTTAGATAATTTAGTGAAATATCGTTTATGAATATTTAATTGCTTTAAACAATGATTCGAGGTAAGGATACAAGCAGGGACGTATTCATGTGGCAGCCATGTTTATGTTTATGCCCCCCCCCCCCCCCCCCCCCCACCCCGTGGAGTGGGTATAGAGTGGGTATTTCTATACAATACAGGGCTATCTGACGAATACATCTTATCCAGTGGATAAATTTATTGGATAGCAGCATCGACTTATACCATAGATAAGGATTTACCTGCCAGATAGTGCTATCCACCTTTTGTACAATCGGGCCAGATGTCTTGAATTATAGCTCGTTGTCTGGGTTACGTAATAGCGAGCTTTAGATCCGACGACGAGTACAAGTACAAGTTTTAAAATTGGTCCTGATCATGTGGTCAACACTAAATCATAGTCAATTTATGATTTTTTACAATCTAAAGTTTCAATCTACGTACTCAATCACGATAGCGCCTCTCTGTAACTGACTTGTACTTATTCTCATACTCATCGTTGGATCTAAAGGTCTTGATCTAATGATGAAAATGGGGATAACATTCCTTTCCTTACCCATATAAGCAGCCCAATGAATTGGTCTGCGATCTCTCTTGTCCATTGCTGAAACATGGGCACCTTTTCTTATCAGAAGTTGTAACATCTAAACAATTTACAACAAATAAATACGTTTAATGTTTTTTAAGCAAAATACAACTCTAAACGCATTATACTCGCAATAATGAAAAGTGAAATTTTATCTTGTCAATCAAGGTACTTGATCATAGCATAACACAGTTGTTCAAACCTGATATCTGGTATGTATCCTCTCCAAACACAACTAAATATCAGCATTTGTATAGTAAATCTTGAAGTCATCTCAATAGCCCACCTCCGAGATGTGCTTCGATTGTCACGCACAAAGGTTTCAGTATGAGGCTACGTGCTAAATTAAATTTATTCTTACTGCTTGTCACGAATGACTGAGCATTTAGCACGTAGCCTCATACTGAAACCTTTGTATGTGACAAGCGAAGCATATCTCGGAAGTGGGCTATTTCTTATTAGGTTGTTATGGTCTTTGGGCTACCTGTGGTTTCCACAGGAAGCCCAAATTCACCTGATTAGACAAGCTTGGCAATCCCAGGAAAAAGTAATTTCAACAATATCCAAATGCAATCACCTCAACATGTCCATTAAAAGAAGCATGATGAAGACTGGTTCTTCCTGCTCTGTCAGTCACATTGACATTGGCAAGATGAGGTATCAATGTCTCTGTGGTTAAAAAAAATTAGTGACAATGTGAAAACAGTGTTTGAGCTGGGCGAGGTGCTCTTTTAAAACRAGTGCCAAGCTGTTAGTGCAGTTTTCGTATGACTGTGAAAAATTCAAGGCACGAACATGGCTATGACACGGCAAGGGATACGCCAGACCAATCACATTGCATGAGAATTTACTCTCAATCCAATCAAGTACCCGGAACACGGCATAAACACAGCGCGGAAATGGTCACGCCAAGGTCACGGCAATGCCAGACCAATCAGATTGCGCATGTAAAAAATCAGCCAATTAGAAAGCATTACGGTCACGGCACGTCACACTTACGGCACTGAGCTTTTCACAGTCATACGAAAACTGCTCTATATAGACAGAAAGAAATGATTCCTGAGATAATATGACATATCAAGCACTTAATAATCTTTGGAGAAAAAAATGGTGATTTTTACAATGATTTTGCAATGCACCAAATTGAAGCTGCGAGTGACAAATCAAAATACTACAGCCCCTAAAATTAGTTTCCGTACAAAAAGTCTTTTTAATTAAAAATTGACAAGACTAACCTGCACACTTAACATGGTTGTTAGCTGCTGCGACATGCAATGGAGTCTGCCAACTCTTGTCTCTTGCATTAACATCCGCAGAATGTTTAATTAGCATCTTAACACAGTCCTATTGTAAGAATAGAGAAGGGTCAAAAATGTTAATGCATTAAAACTAAAACAACACCTACATGTAGAATTGTGCAATTTGTAATATTGTCAAAGCACTGCAGTCAAACCATGGTACGACTGAGAATCAAGGGTGGCTTAAAGTGCCTATGACACCTAACTGCCTCCTTTGATGTCACATACAGTCAACTCTTGCCTTGCGGACACCCCGATATTACGGACACTATGCTATGGCAGACAGGAGAAAAATCCCCGGCCAAAAATAATGACAAAGAAATGACCAAAATCAACTCTCCCTATTGCAGACGCTCGCTATTATGGACACTATGTGATGGTCCCGAGGGTGTCTGCTGTAACGAGAGTTGACTGTAATTAGCATATTAGAAGCCTAAACCTTGATATCTCCAAGATGCATCACTCAAACCATATAAAAATATTTTACCATTCAATCATTCTCTTCATTTAGAATGAATGCTGAAAAGTTTGAGTTAGGTGTCACAGGCATTCTTAATCATACGCGCCCTCTAGCAATTGTTTCTGTTGCAATGAAGAAGGTTTTGGTGGACGTCCATCACATTGTCGGAAAACACAAAGCTATAAGAGCATGTGCCTATAGAATGTCATGGAAATGCCTTGATTGACGTCCATCAAAAGCTACTTCGTTGTGACAATCGCTAGAGTGGTGCGTGTGATTGAGAATGGGTGTAACAGTAGTGCACTCGCCTATCACCTCTAGAGTTTCCGGTTTGACTTTGCATAACATGTGAGTACAGTTGGTTGGATTCCTTCCTTGAATTAATGGCTTTTCTCCAAATTCTTCAGCTTTCCTCCCTTACAAAACCCAAGCTTAATTCCAATTTGATTTGTGAGTTACTGAAATATCCTGATATGGATCAATCAGCATAGAAGTTGTTTCAGGGTTTGATGAAATTTGAAAGAAGAAGAAAATTTCTCACTATACTAGCCTTTAGATAAACATACATCCATACAATACTTACTGTATTCCCTGAAGCACAAGCCCTATGAAGAGGAGTCAGCCATTTGCTATCTTTCGTATTCACTCTAGCTCCTATTAAGGGTAAATAATGCAAGTTTTTGAGCAAATAACAATACTTAGTAACCAATCATAAAAATTTAAACAATTAAATGTCCTCCATTAATATTTAATGATGGCTTATTTTTTACATAATTATTTCAATGTTAGGATTAATGGTTCATGCAAGTTTCCTCTCCATCGATTGCAAGGGTTTTAAGGGTATTTTAAGGCGTAAAATCRTACTGTATTTCCAAAGGGACAGTATTACACAAGTTTTAATCTGCAATTGATTATTCCTTGACCTCATGACCCTACATGTAAAGCATACAAATTTTTTCATCTTCAACTTCCAAGAAGCATTTTACTGTTTTACCAAGAGTTTTTCCTCATTATTGCCCTCGGAAATGCTAGTACTTTTCAAGTTGCAAGATTTAACCCTCTATCTTGTGGGAATCCTGATGTGGGCATTAGCTTTCTTTTTAATTTCAGGAACACCTGTACAATGCATGACTGTTACATTCAACGACCCTGACAGCCATTGTGCAATATTACAATTGTTGACCATTAGCATATGAAGGATACATGAATGCGTGTGCACATACCCACACATAGGGGTTTCTGAATAAGCTGGAGCTCCAGCAATAATTGTTAATTACCAGCTACTTTTCCTTTTCTATAATACACCTTCCAGATGCTCCTCTTATTCAATTGAAGCCAGCTATTTCAAAATTAGATACCTACTCCAAAACAWTTTGAAAGCCATGCACTCATCCCAAGCTCATATTGTTTTAAAAATATTGTACCAAAAGATTAATATGTTGTTCCCATAGAGCTTATATCCCAGCGTGTAAACACATTCACCCTGGCATTTTGCTTGCATACACTGTAACTAAATTTATGAATTTGTGTGTCCATGACTCTGTCCCCTGTCTGATTGATACATGTATATGTGTATACAGGTACCGTATGAGCCATTATAAAAGATATAACCTGGGTGCTGATTGGCTGGCTACAGTGTTTGTATCAGAGGACAGAGAAACGCTTGTGAAAAATTGTTCAAAATATTTTATAAAAGCAATATAAAAATGGCTGCCTATGTCTCTGTGCTGTGATATAAACACTTTGGGAGCTGTATAACACTCGAAAAGAAAATATGTTCCATGCTTCCTAAACTTGTTTCTCTCATGCTCTACAGCTTCTAGTGTGTTTATATTTGCAGTACAGACATGCATGGACATTTTATATTCCTCAATAGCATCCAAGACAATATGATTTACCATTAGCAAGCAACACATTTAAACATTCTCCTTCACCACAGTGTGCAGCTGCATGCAAAGCTGTTTGCCTTTCCATATCCTAGTAAAACAAAGTAATGAAAATGAGAAAGACAGATAAATACTGCAGTTTGGGGTTGTCGCTGTTGCTCAGGGTTAGCCTCAATTTTTTGCAGAATATTTTTGTTTTCCACTCAAGATCAATGGAGTTTCAAAGTGTCTGTATTGTTGAAGTTTTGCATTCTTTACTTTATGGTTGGTATTTGTGAATATTTAGACACTGATACAAGGCTAAGCCTAAGTAAATGAGTCTGTAATCAAGGAACATGGAGGTAATTTGGAACTTGAAAATGGTCCAAAATGACACACAACAAAATTGCAGCATGTCAATGCATGTACACGCATGCACATATGTATAGTTCAAATGTTTGATACTTTCTCTGCAACATTTTGCAAAATAACTTGTAGGATTAACTTGTGCGGATATACAATTTTTACCCAGAAAGACATGCAAAACTGCATGTCTTGCCAGTGTGAAAATTAAATAACACTGTATATCTCTGTTCATGTTTTTACTATTTATGGACTAGTATATGTACTTATTGACTGAGTTAGGTCGGGCCGTACGGTAATTTGGCTCAAGGTGATGCCGAGAGCCAAATATTTTCCCGTACGGCCTGACCTAACTCAGTTAATAAGCATTTTATCATATGACCCTCACGAAAAGAAAAATAATTGAAAAAAAGAAAGTGCGCAGATTCGAGCAGTGCCGTACGGATTCGTATGGCCCTGCTCTCTCAAAGCCGTATGGCCCTGCTCACGCCATTTTCCCGAAGGTTTTTCTGAGAGCRTGTGCCTGGGCAGATACGGGTCATATGATAATAAAGCTTATAAACTTTTGGAAAACTTTTGGAAAATTATTCACAGGAATTCGAAGTTTCGTAAAAAACAATCATAAAGATTATCTCTGGAAGAGTACCAAGATTAGATACCCATGAATGCATCATCGACGAAGGTTAAAACGTTTTTTTTTTAGTTTAGGGGGTAAAAAGAAAAGAAAAACAAAGAAAAAGTTGATCACCATAATTTTCATGAATTCAAAGGACGATAATTTTGCCATCATGCATGGACACGCAAAAATAAGTGAGCTGAATAAGAGAAAGCTTGACAAATTCAATACGATCTTGAAGATCAAGCTTGGGATCTTTTCTAATTTAAAGTTGTCTTTAACTTTAAGAGATAATATTGCAAAGTAAATAGTCTAATGTAAAACGCTTGACACCAATTGAAATGTTTATTTAGGATAATTCGGTGCGAGTAAAGAGGTTGCTTCTTCTGGCAATTAGTTTAGATGTCTTTCAGTTTGATAGAAAATTGGTCTTGTGTCAAGAACAGCTGGTTTTGCCTGTTAAAATACTCATCTACGAATAGCTATACGAACGTCAATGCAACGAAGCGAAGAAGAAAAAAAGACTACAACATTAATCCAAGCAGCACAAATGAAAAGACTTTACCTGATAATTCACTTCTTCTTTTCGGTTTATCAAAGCTCGAACTTCTGCAGCATCTCCATGAAAGCAGGCCTGTACTAATGGAGGCTGGAGGAAACACGAAAACACAAGTTAGAACAGTTTTGACACGACAAGACTTCCACTTTTAGTATCACCTGGTCGTGTTGTGCAAAGATATAACTTTTCCATCTACACTAAGTAGGCGGTCAACATAGAATACTTGAAGGCTAAAATCAACATCAGGCGAACAACAGCCTACAAGTGGAGCATGACTAAGAAACAAGAAGCATAACGATTTTTCTCACCTCGTCCACAAGCTGTTGAATAACCATTGCACACCGGTTTGTCGATATTTCGAGTGACCAGAAGGATTTTTTGATTTATTCTGGCCCCACACTCATAAGGCTCCTTAAAAATACACCACACCCCTCATTCTTAACTACATAACCAATGCAAGGGGGTTAGGGCTCCAAATAAGATGACCCTGGCAAGAAAAAGCCAAGTTTTCAGCTTTCTTCTGGTGAATTCCTAACGAGTTTGGCTGCAGTTCAAACTGCCTTCAAGAAGGCCGCCATCTTGACACGACTGGTGCCCTTACCTGATTGGCTTGCTATTGTCATGTGACCGTCAACAGCCAAGACGGTTATTATTAATAGCCTCGCGTGCACAAGGCAGACAAGAGGTGTTGCGACAATTTTTTCTATTTCTTTTGTGAAAACTTCCTTTATTTAAAGTGCTTATAAGCCTTTGCACAATATTTTCAGAATTGATTCTTTAGATAGTGGATAGTCGATTGTGAAAATATTTCGTCATTTGAATGTCGGGTTATCATTTAATATACATCACTGCACTCGTATTGGAATACAGTATTTTAAAAGCATCACCCTTTTACTTGTGACTCATTTTCAAAAAATGTCCAGCGTTCAATATTAAAAGTTGCCTTAAAATAACTCAAATCCCTTATGTTACGTCATAGTCATTAATATATTGGAAATATAAACCTTCGTATCTCAAAGACCTGACATTCAAATGACGAATTATTTTCACAACTATTCACTATTTAAAGAATCAATTCTGAAAAATGTGTAAAGGCTTATAACTTGACTTGACTAATTTTTCCAATACGTTTTCTCTTTAGGTATCAAAATGCTAAAGGAATATAAGAGAAAACCTTTTTAAAAGAGCAATACAAGTTTCATGATTTCCAAAATAACATCACATTAAAAATATGTTGGATTGATTTCCTACAATCTTCTAAAATGGCATGAATTTTTTCAAATTTAGTTAAGGCGCTAAAATACGAGACATAAAAACGTCCAACTTGCCTCATAACAATGTTGCGGTGCAAGTTCGAAAACAATGTTGCTGGTTTTGGACGTTTTTTTGTCTTGTATTTCAGCGCCATTAGTAAAAAATTTATAAAATATGGTACTAAGTAAGTGGGTAGGCAGCAGAAAAGAGAAGATAGAGGAGGAAAAGATTAGGAGTGGACAAAGAAAGAGAGAAAGGGAATTCTAAAGAGAAAGAAGTGAAAGGAAAGGAAAGGAAATCGAAAGGAAGAAAAGAGGAAGGAAAGTAATAGGTAGTAAAGGGGAAAAGGCTATGTATAGATTGGTGTTTTTGAATTTCAAGATAGTTTGAATATTTCACATTGCATGTTTGATAATTGAAGGTTTATTTCACCTTATGAAATACTTATGATAATAATTAGAACTTAGCATAATGGAGCACGAACAAGCATTTCATTATACAACCTAAAAATGGCTTCAGGGCAATTATCCATCAATAAATTCATCACGTATATATAATAATGCTAAGATAACAAATTCAAAACCATCAGCTCATTACTATAGTTTATTCTGTCATGAAAATGTATTTATTTACAATGTACAGGGAACAGACAAATAATTGGTAAGATTATACTTATCTAAATATGTATTTTATTTCATTATTTAGTTAGGATAGTATGTGTGCACTGATTGGTCAAAAACTGTGCTTTATTAGTGAACGGATGCCATCCTCACTCACAAGGTGCTGCTAGGTGTGGCCATCTTTCTTTTTGTGAAAATAAATTCAATACCAATGTTAAAAAACCCATGGTATAAAACAAATAAAACAGCTTTTTCTGTGTTCTGTTCAGTAATAAGGCACTTAGGAACTTGAGAAGTGTGAGAAGCACTCTCTGTCCTTACACTTCTTTTGTGCTTATGCTACTTCCTGCTTTTTATTATACTGAATGCAGCATGAAAAACTGTGTTTTATTTGTAAAATACAAGCTAATTGAAAAAGCTTGTTAATGCTAAATATATGTGTTAATCGTGATCACTAAGTTAGGCTAACTGACTGAGAATCCTCTTCAGCTTTCTCATGTATAGTCCTACGAAGTAATGTATAAACATCCTTGCAGCCTTTGACAGCTAGCTTAAGGACCTTTTCCATGTTATCCATGTGCAATCTTGAGTCCATTTGAAACAGGACAACTTTTTCAGACTTTGGCAGTATGGCAAGACTCAGCTGTGGTCCACCAGAGCTTTCTTCTAAATAGTTGATATCCATCAATGGGGTGTCATTAACAAAACTCACAGTACTTGCACTAACATAATCTTTCATTGGGATACCAGCATCTATCAAAGCTAAAGTTGTAGCATTTATGCAAGCAGCTTGGTTGCTTCCATCTGCTTGAAGGACCTAAAAAATAAATAAAATGAAATTTTCAGCTGGCATAGACAAATAACTGTGATATTACTAATTAGCTAGACTGAAGTGCACTTGTCCTGGGGTGTAGCGAGGTCTCGGTCATTGTGTGTGTGTGTGTGGGGGGGGGGGGGGGGGGCAATGTATCATTTTCCCACCAAATCCACAGGAATCCTGTATGAATCAATTAAATTTTGGTGCAGAGAACAAACTTTTGGTGTGGGAAGTGCCCTCCTCCCTATGCTAGCACACTTGTCTCTCACCCATCTGGGGTCTCAGGTTCGATTCCTGGACTCAGTATAACATGTGAGTAGAGTTTGCCGTGTCTTTGGCTTTATTCAAGGGTTTTTCTCCCAGTTTTCCAGTTAATTTTCCTCCCTCCACAAAAACTAACAAGCTAAATTGTAATTTGATTTTTGGATTAGCCATGCCCCAACTTTGCGTTTGCTCAACACATTTTGGAGAGAAACCCCTACCTGCTTCTCTCCGCTCTCCTTTTTCCCACTTCCTCCGTGTCAGAGCAAAGAATGTTATAACAAATGCCTAAAAAGTTGCCCAGAGGATATAGCTTTTCTCACCTGTACAAATATATCAATTTGTGACCGTGGATACAATTCAGTTATAATCGCAGCTTCAAATGTTCTACGAATAATCATAGACAACTCTGTGGACTTTCTATCCCCTCTTGGTTTTCTTTTCCTCTCTCCAGTACTGAAAGTAGCCATGCCGAATTGGCAGTTTAACAAAACTCTGTCGTGTAATGCTTTGGCCTTGCTTGTCACTTCATGTGGGCCATACACTGTGGCTAATGCCTTCGTGTTTCCCATTTCTATGTACGCCGATCCATCGGCCTGCGAAAGTACACCCACCCTGCAAACTATTTTTCTAAGTTCGTGAGGTCTTCGTCCATCTAATCGAAGACCTTCAGGAGAAAGAATTTCCAAGCCTGCCATTTTGTCTTGCACGAGGAGCAGAGCACAAAAACCAGCAGGCGTTATTAGTATCGAAAGAGAGAAACTGGTTCGGGCCGACAAAATAATCTTACCCTCCCCTCCCTACCAAAAAAAGACATGCGAGTTTATAAACAACTACTCAGAACTCGAGGCAAATGTTATATCGTGGCTTTATCTCTCTTAGACTCCGATCTGCTGAATATTTATTTAAGGTAAGGCTAAATTAATGTTGATTGTTTCTTTCGATATGCAATACCAATGTTTTTTCCCTATTTTCCCGCCTCTTTTTGGAAGTGAATCCCAACACTCGAGATTCGTCTTTTATTCATATCTTAATTTGCATTGATCAAAACATCTCTTCAAATTGCCCGATAAACCTGTACATGTAGTTCGTACAAATTTCTAGTTGTTTCATATAGTTTTCTTATTATTACCTTTCCTTCCGGGGCTATTTTCATTCATCAAGCCGTTGTAGTTTAGCTTTTAAGCTAAAAAAATCAATGTGATTCTGAGAAAATATGCAATACTATGGTTGCCTGCGGGCTAATTTAGGTCCAAAGATCACTTAAGTTGAAGCTATTATAAGACTTAGATCTCTTGAAAACGTGTTAGATTATATTGGCTTGCTAAAGAGAAGGAAAATTTCATGATCAGATGTTATTATATACGGTGATTGTACTCAAATCCTTATCATACAGGAAGGCAGAATAGGGTATGTTGACAGGCCGGTCTCTAAGAGGAGAGGGTCTCTCTCCGGCTCTCTCTCCATATGGCCTTCTGATCCTCACAAACTTACCAACTTTGATTAGCCTTAGGCGATGTACGATGTTTCATTACCACAATTTGATATGTAATTAGCCAACTCATTTTTCCATAGCTAATATTTATTCATTCATTCATTATTAATTTTTAACTAGTTTAGCTGTAAGAGATCATTAATGGGTTCTAACACACGACTATCACAAAAGGAGGAAAAGACGTTTCAATACCAGGATTCTCTTCCAAGACTTCCAGTTCCATCCCTTGAGCAAACCTGCAATAAATAYCTAGAATCAGGTAATCAAAAGTTTTATAGTGAGGGACTGTTTGTTTATTATGTTGCAGGGGAGGGGTGGTTTTCATGGGATGAATATTTTTGTAACACGTACTCCCCTCTCTAAAAAGCGTGTACATCTTTACACCCCACCCTATTTTTCTTAAAAAGCTTAACCCCCCCTTTTTGTTGAAAACAAAGTTTACCTTACCTCAAATTAAGTTTTTTTTTTCAAAAATATAACTCCCCCCCATGAAAACCCCCAGCGCAAGCCTGTAGGCTGGGGGGGTTCGGGGGGTTTGGATGGACTCCCCCCCCCCCCCCCCCCCCCCCCCCCCCACCCCCCCCACACTCACGGAAAAGGTCCGGTGTCCACCTGGTATTTTTATTAATAATACTGTCAAATCGCTTTATTCGTAAACGAAAAAAATAAATGTGTGTTGTACTGGTCAAATTGTCACTTAAATTTAATAGATTGTATTGCATGTACATGTTGAGTTTTCTGTGGAGCAGCAGCATGTTTTGGCGGGAAAATACATTTTAGCGGGAAATGTCCCCAAAATGAAATACCAACCCCCCCCCCCCCCATTTCTAAGGCAGCCTAAGAGCCTGCAGCCCCTCTCCCCCACCCCTGCTAGCTAGACGTAATAAACAAGCAGTCCCTAAGACAACAAGTTAATGACAAATGCAAGAAAACAGAAATTCATATTCTTATTTTCTTTTGTCAGTAAAACCATTAGTGAATGAAACAGACTACCTGCAAACAGACTTTCTCATCAACGAGTTCAAAAATGGAGTTGGAAAAGAACTACAAAAAAAGCTGCTTCAAAAAGGACAAGAACAGAGAAACTGGGTAAAACAATAGCTCCAGAAAATACCCAGTAGACTTAGCTTGAATTTAAAGTTTTTCCATTTATCAGACCATGTGTCATTCCATTGAGCATGAGTAGATTCAATCAATCAATCACTCACTCAATCAATCAATCAATCATTCAATCAATCGCAGGGAATTAAGTATGGGTGGCGTAGTGGTGAGAGTGCTAGCCTCTCACCAATGCGACCTGGATCCAAGTCCCTACGAGCTCAGTGTTGTATGTGAGTTGAGTTGTTTGTTGGTTCTCTCCTGTGCTTCGAGGATTTTCCAGATACTCCGGTTTTCCTCCCTCTGTAAAACCAACTTCTAAATTCCAATTCGATCTTGGGCTATCACCTAGCATGGTGCTGAGGGTTCTGTTCATGATTGTCCCACTCTGTGATTACAGAGAAAACTGATAGATTATTCAATCATTCAATACTTTATTTGTTAAAACAGGTGGAACTTACATATGGCTACAAATAGCTGTAAATATAGCTAAATTATAACTACATATTATATTGGCAGCCTAAGACTGATGTGGACCTTATCCATGTATTCATGTGTCTTCAAATGCACAAATGTTTAATAAAGAAAAGATTCTTAATTAAAGGATAACACATGGTCTGAATAGACCTTTTACGAGTTCCAAATTACAGCTGGGTAATAAAGAATGCACAACCTCAACAATACAAACACTTTGAAATTCCACAGACCTTATCTCTGGAACACATGAATATTCTACACAAAGTTGAGACTAACCCTTAGCAACATAGACCTTGAAACTGGAGTATTGAAAAACGTTATGCTCAAGATGAGAGGGTCAAAAATTATTATTAGTTATTATTTTGGTCATCATCAGTCATCATTATCATAACCACCACCACCATCATCATCAATGTTATCATTATCATCATTTTTTTTTAACTCCAAAGGGGGATGGCTAGCTGCCCACTCCTCCAGCTTCTGTTCTCTTGATTGGGTCCATGAGGACCTGTAGATTAATGAGCTCTTCACTGCCCATATGCATAACAAAATATAAAATGGCACACAACATCTTATCATTTTTTTCAGTTGGAGAAATGGTGGGAAGAGGAAGGATACCTGAGGCCCCGTTATCCTATTACACCTTATGTCAACATTGGAGGACCAGTGTCCTCCTTTTCAATGTGGCCACCTCTAGAAGGCACTCAAATAAAACGTTCAGCCATTCTTACTAATGGTGTTTTACATATCTGGCAGCAAATTTACAAGTAGGTATCCTATATAATAATCGTAAAAGAAGTTTAGACAAATGTGAAATACACTCTATTAATATAAAAACCTCCCATTATTATTATTATTATTATTATTATTATCATCATCATCATTATATTGGACTTTATAGCTTTATTAATTTACCAAATGAATTGATATCAGGAAAGTATGCCAGGAATAAAGTCAAGATAAGGTCAAATAGCAACCTGCAACTTGCAAAATACAACTTAAGGAGGCTGGAAAGTGTTTTATGCTTTTACATGCACTCACAATTATGAAGTAAAAAATTAATATGGCTATAATATGACAGCAAGTAAACCCGGAAAGCCAAAGACCATTTGAAAAAAATGACGTCAGACATAATTATGACAACATCAGAACCCTCATTATGCCATCAAAAATGTTTGTTTAAAAACTCATAACTCAGGAACCAAACAGTGAAATTTTTTTAAAAATGGAATATTTAAACTTTGTATTGTTATCTTCTTTTTGACGAAAACATTCTGTAAGAGGGAATTCATAAAAATCAACAAATTTTTTTTKGAATTACAGTTCTCTCTTACAGAATTTTTAAAAATCTTTCCTTAAGTTTTCGAAAACATAAACCAAAGCCATATGCAAAATTTGAAGAAATTTTGCAGCAGAGTTTTGTATTTTTTTTTTCAAATTAAAATATCAAAAATTTTGAGGACAAAACTTTCCTTTTGCAAGTTTGATGTCTTCAGACCTAGAGTGTGCGCACTCTCAAGAAAAACAGTTTCGAGCCTCCATAAATTTACTGGCTATTCGCAGAAAATTAACCAGAATTTGGTACTATTGGTTGCATTTTTTTGCAAGTTCACCTAATTATTCCTTAGTTAGACTTTTTCCTGAATGTACATTTCTGTTATCAATAGACAACTTGCACTAAGAGGTCACATGATCAAATCCTCTATTGTGTAAATTAATTAATTGATCTTTTTCAGAGAAGAAATGCAGGTACAAAAGATGAGTAACAAGCCTCTGTGCATGAATCAATATGCAAGAGTGTTTGCTGGATGTCGTGTCCCAGGAAAAGAAGTTGATAAGCTAAAGATCCTTTTTAAACCAGGTAATTTAAATCTGTATACATTCATTTTGTGAACCTGAATGTAATTTAGGCAAAGTTTAAATCGAGTCCAACCAGTCAGCGGTTTCGCCTAGCGACAGTGTGGGAGAGCCCATCATGGTTCAGGGGTATTGGCAGGGTTTGCAGTGTGGCAGCTTTGTCGTTGTGTTATCGTTTGGCCAAAGCGCTCATGGAAAGATTTCTCCCTCCCACATACCTCTCAGAAATTTGAAGGAGTAAGTAAAGGACATGGTAAGTATCTCCACCATAGTAGGTGTGACGGGTGCCAATGGGCATTGGACTGTGGCCCGGTTGCCATGGTCACCCTGCGATTGGGCTAGCTAGGCCGGGCATGAACACCCCTTGACCCTGGCACTCAACTCAAACTTGTCAATACAATGAGTTTTAACTGATCACCAACATCAGGAGGTAGCCTGGGTACTCGAGGAAAAAGAAATATAATAATTACAGGTCAAATCTGTGAGTTAGCTATATACTCTAACTTGTGATGATGTTCAGCCAGTTTGTTAAGGCATTACGTTAAGTTACATTTCAATTTTGTACAGCTCCAGCCTCCTCTCCTCGACATATAGTAGTTCAAATAAATAGCCGGCTGTTTAGCTGCACAGTTTTAGAAGAAAATTACGAACCCTTTACAGCACCAGAAATTGAAAGGTCAGAAGAAAAACATTGAATTATCAAATATTTATAATAATTATAAAAATAAATGATTCCAATTGTCCACTTCCGAGATATGCTTCACTTGTCGCACACAAAGGCTTCAGTATGAGGCTACGTGCTAAATGCTCATTATAAAATAACTGTTATGAATGTTGCGTTCTGATTGGTTTGGAGCGAGTGCTTTATGAGAGCACATTGCACGTGCGCGCACTTCCCGTTGTGTCATTTCTATCTACTATTGTAATTTGTATTTTATAAAAGAAATAAAAAACTTGCTTGCTGTGCTGTGTGTAATCATAAAGTACTTGGGGGTTGGCAGAACACTCGAGAAGTGTCGAGAAGCACTCCACTACACGTCATGCTTCTCCTAACACTTCTCTCATGTTGTGCCAACCCCCGCATGCTTTATGACAGCACACAGCACGTGCGAGCATTTTCTATTTCTTCAGTCATTCATGACTGCAGGTGGTAAGAATTAATTTAATTTAGCACGTAGCCTCATACTGAAACCTTTGTGCGTGACAAGCGCAACATATCTCGGAGGTGGGCTATTGCAAGGATATTAACATTTTTCAAATAATTCCATATTCCAAATTCAATGTCTCGATGGGATGTGGTGGACTTGTGGGCATATGCACTATACATTTTCTCAATTCCTTGCGTCCTCGACTTGAACTTGTTTCATCGTCGCTGAAGCAAATGCAGGAAAGGGTTATCATGGTGCTCCTACTCCAACAACTTTTCTACAATAACACAGGAAACCCATAACACTAAAATATCCACTTCACAGGAGCCTCCAAGAAATCGTCAAAATTGCATCGTCTAAGTCTCCAGGACCAGCAGTTGGAGTTCTTACAGCTGGAGAGAGACACACTTGGTATGAAGTAAGTATATTTTTGAGAAAATATCTATTCTGGCCACCCTTGTTGCTAGGGAGGTTTAATATTAGAACACGCCCCAATTGGAAACTCCATCAAAATCTAATGAAGTAAAAGAGTAAGAAGTTAAGTTACATGCTGCACCTTTTTCTAAGAGACAGCACCCACCCCCTTGAAATCATCATGGATCTACCAGTGGAAGGGCCATCATGATCATTGGATTTGTATAGGTAGCATGGAAAGCATATGCTGCTAACAAGTTGTTTTTCACTTCTGTGAGTCCAAAGGTTTAGGTCACTGGTTTGAGTCATGCGGACGCCAATGTGAATTGAGTTTATTTGATGTGTTGCTCTCTCCTATGCTACGAGGGTTTTCTCTGGGTTCTCCTGTTTCCTCCCTCCATAAAGATCAAAATTTGAGTTGAGCGTTGTGTGCATAGAATATTAAATGTAGTGGTAGTGCGTGTGAGTGAAAAGTGTCTCCAATTAGTGTGAAAGACATGACTAGATGCCTAAATAAATGAAATTTAATGACTCTCTATGCAAGGTACCGAATGGATGTAATGAATGAAAGATTAATTATTATTCTTCATTATTGATCAATGTTTTAAACAGACTCTTAATTTAGACTGGAAATGTGTTCTTTTGTTTCTCTCTCCAGCTGAGAGAGCATCTGAAAAGCCTAAGTCCACGTAATGTTAACTACCTCAACGAAATAGAGACTGCACTTTTTATCTTGGTATTGGAAGAACATGATGCACGACAAGAAACTGAGGTGAGTCATCAGGATGGTATTATGCGTTCCATCCTTCCTTCTATCCATCCATCCATCCATCCTTCTATCCATCCATCCATCCATCCATCTACCATATGTCCATCCATCCTTCCATCCATCCATCCATCCGTCCATCCATCCATCCATCCATCCATCCCTCCAAAAATATAGATATTTTTATTTCTTTGTAATACACATTAATATTTACAAGAAAAAATAATAATTTTAACAATTTATAATCAACTAATAATAGTTTCACATCAAACGAAAATAGTACCAGTAAGCTAGAGTAACTTTTTTTTTGAGCCAGATTACAAATGGACAAAGCTAGTTCATGAAATAGAAAATTGAAGAATGAGAATTCATCCATTCCTTTATTTTTTCATTTCTCCTTTCATTTTTTGACTCAACATTTTACAGATCTCAATTTATTATTATTATAATAATCAAAAGTAATTTAACATTTTAAATTTCACTTATGTATTGAATTCTAGATATCGCAGCATTCAATAGCTGGAGACTGCAAAAACCGTTGGTTTGACAAGTTTTTTTCAATTCTTGCTTTCAAAGCTGGACTATTTGCCACACACTGTGATGTATGTTTATTTAAATGATTTAAAAACATTGTTTCACTTTTTAAAAGACAATTTCAAGCAGTTTTCATATGACTGTGAAAAGCTCTCTATACATTTGCAGTCGTGACATGGCAAGGCATAAGATTCAGACCAATAACATTGCTCAATAATTTACTCTTCATCCAATCAAAACCTAAAACAAGGCAAGAACTTGGCCCTGACCTGATTATGCCAAAGTCACAGCACTGCATAAATATGCCAGATCAATTACATTGCTAAAGCAAAAAATGAACCAATCTAAATTCTAGAAAACATTGTGGTTGCAGCTTAGGCCATGTCTATGACACCTAGCTTTTCACAGTTATACAAGAACTGCTCACTCTGAAGTTCATGTTATACAAAAATGCTACCATGGTAAAATGAAAGAACAGCGCCTTAGATTTCCCTGTTAATGGAATGTCATCTCTAGCTGTTCAATACATGAGCATGTCATTATTCTTCCAAAATCACACAGCCGTTCCAACAGTCAAAATGTCATTAACTCACCAACACTCGTTAACCTGATCAACAGGCCTTACAGCTGTGTGATTGACAAGCAGTAGACTGTTGGCGTGCCGTCAAAAGCCAAACAGTCTACTGTCAAACAGTTGGTTACCATGGTCAACAGAACTAGTCTGCTGTTTTCATATTTTACCCATTACCACTACACTAACTTTGCACACACAATACTCAATTCGTGTGATGTATTGATTTTTATGGAGGGAAGAAGATCGGGGAACCCAGAGAAAACCCCTCTTGACAATGCAGAGAACAACACATCAAACAAAGTTCATTTCATATGTGGCTCAGTCAAAACCCAGGCATGAACTGCACACCATCCAGTAAGAGATATGTTTATGCCGCTTATAAATCATATGATATTGATTTTAATCTTTTTAATTAGCATTGTCCATTTGAAGGAGTTGTCGATGCTGATGTTGTCGAGCAAGCGCTTGCTTTGATTCAGAGAAACAATGGAGAATGGAAGGTACAATTATGTGACATAGTATTTTTTGCTCCTAATTTGAAGAATAATCAATATCTACTTGTTTAATAATACCTGTTTAAACAGGTTTTAAAATGTACATTATTTTATAAACCTTCATCCAGTTATCTGACTGAGCTGGTTTACAAGAGCATTGGTCTCTTTTTGCTGCCCCCTATGTAATGTTTGTAATGTCACATAATTTGCAAATGGTTAGACCTTCAAGCCTTCTTGAATAAGGACCTAAAGCCGCAGGCTCTGTCTCCCAACCATTTCTTAACCAGCTGTAAATGGGGGACATAAAAGAACCTCTGGTGTTTATCATTAAGCATTTGGGCTTTCACCTAGTTTGGAGCCTAGCTCTGTTGTGATTGTCCCACGCTGTGATACAACAGCAAAAGCTTTGTAGATTTGTTTTAAAGATTATTATTGTTTTTTGTTTCTTTTTTGTTTTTGTTTTCAATTGAATTCATTAGTGATACATAAATACATTAGAATAGCTAAGTAAGCTCATTATTTCTAAGCATATATTATTGCTGTATTTAGTATATAGGCTGCTATACTTTAGCGACTTGCAGCCCATAAAGTCATCTAGTACTTGATATCATAGATTTAAGCACATTGCCAATGTAAAATGCACTATATTTTAAGAACTCCCATTATATTTAGTTTGATATATTTCGTAAGAAACAATGCAACAATTTGCTAGCTGAGTCATGTCATGTTTCATTGATTGGAACTTCTTTTTGGATTACTCATATTTGATCATTATTTTCAGGGAAGAAAGGAGATAAAAAATTCCATTCCACCTTATGAACTCGATTTTGTTATTGATAATCAAATCGCCAAAGGAATTGAAGTGGCAGCAACAATGTATCAATCAGCTGTAAGTTATGCAGATTTGTATTTAAATAATATTAAACCGCCACCCAGTTTAAGAGCGTCTGTCTATTGTGTGTGAAGTGTTGGTTCAAGCCTTAGCTGGACCAACACTCCGGGTCTTTAAAAATAACTGAGGAGAAAGTGCTAGTTCGTAATTTACATCTGCAAATGGTTAGACATTCAGGTAGCACAAATGACCATGTTAATGGCGGTCCCAAGAGACATTTAAGAGAACCTCAAGTTTATCAGTTGAATTTTACTGTCAAGTGTCATCCTCTATAAACAAAGTTGATTAATTAAAATGCTGATCTATACCAGTACTATGTTAAAAGTATTGCATACAAGTAGTTCCAGAAAATCCCCGGAAAATTCCAATTTTCTTACCCATACAAACTCTGTAATTTTTTTTTTTTCACAATTCAATGTTAAATTGGCACTTAACTGCTCTAAATGTTATATATTTGGTGCCATGAAAGATTTGTCTTGTAATATAGATGCATTCAGAGTGAAAAGTGCAACCAGGACCAGATCTGATTTTTATGGACTAGAAATTCGATGACTGCAATTTATTCTAATTGATTCTCTTATTTCTTACATTTTTTTCTTTTGCAGGCGGATAATTTAGAAGTATTGAGCCACCATTTTGATGAATTTGGTAAAAATGTCCCTAAGAGCCTAGGAATACATCCAGATACATTTTGTCAAATGGCCATTCAACTAACCCATTATCGTATTCACAAAAAGTGAGTTGATAATAAAGTAGGGATAAAACATTACCACTGTTTTGGAGTCTATTTATAAATTTTTATCGATACCCTGAAACAACTTCTGGGCTGATCTCCTGATCTAAGGCAGGGCAATGCTAACTCAGATCGAACCCTGAAACAACTTCTGGGATCTAAGTCAGCTAGGGCACAGCTAACTCACAGATCAAACCCTGAAACGACCTCTGGGCTGATCTAAGTCAGGTCATGACTAACTCATAGATCCAACCCTGGAACAACCTCTGGGATGATCTAAGTCAGGTCATGGCTAACTCACAGATCAAACCCTGGAACAACCTCTGGGCTGATCAAAGTCAGGGCACGGCTAACTCACAAATCAAATTCTGAAACGACCTCTGGGTTGATCAAAGTCAGGGCACGGAATTAGACAGATCAAATTGAAATTTAGCTTGTTGGGTTTTGCAGAGGAAGGAAAATATATATTTAGTGGAATATTAGTCAGTGCAGCTGAGTTTTGTAAACCACTCATCACCCCTATATATTAAGTAAAACACCCCACTCTTCTTAACAGAGGCCATAATTTAACCTAATATTGAAAACAGTAATGATAAAAGGGTAAATTTTACAACTTGAAAAGATGAAAAAACTGACTTTTCAGACGCTAGTTACTGTTTCATTAGAAACACCGACGCAGCTCACACTAGTTTTTAGCTAGTTATCTCTTTTTATATTGAAAACAAATAATTTGAATGGTGTATGCTAGAGTGTACTTAGGGCTGGGACCAACCTCACAGTGAAAAACAGAGTTGTGTTAATAAAATGCAAAACAAAATCCTTTATCTGAATGAGGAGGTGGGCTTATCTTCAGTTTAATCCTTTTATCTTTGCTTTCATTTATAGACCAGCTCCAACATATGAGACAGCACAGACCCGCCAGTTTTATCATGGAAGGACAGATACGGTATTAGAGTAGTGGCATTGGGTTTTACCCCCACCAATTTTGGTGTTGATCAACCTGCCAGTTAGCACCCTGGTTTTGTCCACCAAAAGCGTCAATCAATGCTTTTTACATGAGATATGCATAATAGGTGTTCTTAATACTCCATTTTACATTTCTGTTCAGTGACCACAAATAATTCCAAGCCCAGGTTGGAGTTGTGACTCATGATAAAAAGTATAGTTTTGCAATTATTGTGAGGAAACTCAGGCCTTGACTTGGAACTATTATTCGTAGTCACTGAAGGGAACTCTTGAATGCAACTCTTGCAAATTACTTTCAAAATTTATCCCCTAGAGCCCCATACCTCCTGTCTTTGTTATTTCTTATTCATTAGTTTCTTTCATCTTGTAAGTATAATGCTCAAAATAGACCTGTTCATACAACCTTCTCATAATGGCTGATGAACGCACGGAAACGAGGTCACCCAGTCATTTTGCAAGGTTGAGCCAAGCTGCTCATTCAAAATAAAGGCTGTTAGCGCTAATTCAGATCAAAACAAAGGTCATTTTTTTATACTTTTACTTTTTTAAAGTCATTTCATGTAATTTTATATCTTTTATAAGCCTTTTCATAGTTTTGCGCATGCAATTTTATCCAGAATTTCTCACCTTCTTTTGTTTAATTAAGAACAAAAGAAGGTTTAAACAAGGTGAAGAAAGAAGGTGAGAAATTCGGGATAAAATCGCATGTGCAGTGGAATCGATTCTTAAACTATGAAAAGGCTTATTGTGAAATAATGACTGGGTGACCTCGTTTTCATGCACTTGTCAGCCATTACGAGAAAGGTGTATTAATTATTTTATTATTCAAGTATTATCATAGAAGAACAGATAYGTTATGTACTGTTTAATAAACGAGCAGGAGTGTTTTATCGGGTATAAAACATGAGGCGTAGCCGAGTGGTTTTAGACCCGATAGAACACGATCTGTGAGATTATTAAACGGCTTAAAAACTCCTGATGTATGTTCTCAT